TATTTTGTTACGTTAGACCTTGAGAGTGATTGTAAACATGACTTGTTTGTTCACAATTAAATAGTGTTTCATTTATGGCTCCATAAAATCTGTTTTATTTTTTTCTAAATTCTGTGTTTTACGTTTTATTGTTACTGGATTCCGCGTTTTATGATTTAATACAAATTTGTCATCAATAAAATGAATTTATAAACTTTAAAAGATTAATTAAATGTAATCAAATGAAACTTTATACAACAAAACATTGCAGTGTAATAAGATGCTGCACAAAATAGCTGTGTTAATTAAAACATGGATGAATAAATATCTTGGTTTGATATTCCGTCAAAATATTAGTACTATTATTATTACTATGCATTTTGGAATACAATAGTAATTTATTTCCGTCACAATTTCCTCAAGTAAAACCGAACTTTTATTTTGGCGGTTTGTTGTGAAGATCTGTGATATTGTTTATCGCCCTGCTCTACTCGAACTTTAGAGGGGCGCTTCAACCAGCCAAACTGAAAAGCGTTGCTTACGCATTTACTGAAAGAAGATATTTTGAGAAATGTCTCACTTCGTCCACGACTGCTAAATGAGTTCCGCAGAAGTCATAGAAGGTTTGCATGACGTGAGGGCGAGTAAATGATTGTTGACTCTTTAGCATTCAGTAAGAGTGTAACACGAGCGTGTGTTTGGAGGACGGTCAGTTTCTCGTGATGTGGTCCGAGGGTTTGGACGCTGATAACGCAGGTTCTCCTGCGGCTGATGTGATAACGCCTCTTTGTTCTGCTCGTCTCACACGTGTGTGTGTGTGTGTGTGTGTGTGAGTGTGTGTGTGTGTGTGTGTGTGTGTGTGTGTGTGTGTGTGAGAATCTGTGTGTGTGTGTGTGTGTCTGTGTGTGTGTGTGTGTTTGTGGTAATAGTAAGGTCTGTAAGCATGGGTTCAGGTGGGTCTCGTCTCTGCTGATTAGTGAGGTTTAACTCAGATGAGGCTGACTGACTGAGAACGAGTCTTTAAAACATCAGATCCAATTAAGAGCAGCTGTAACGAAGCTCAGGTCATCTCGGGCTCTCCGTATGTCTCTGCTCAAACCGTTGTTTTGATCAGTCAGACGTCACACTGGAGGACGGCTCTCAGTGTCTGAGTTTCTCTGTTGAACACCAGAGATTGAGCTGCAGGTTACAGCTGCTTTAGTGCGATTGTGTTTGTCTGAAGCACAGCTCATTTCGTTCTGATCATGATCTGAGTTTGAGGCCTCAGAGCTTTGCTGCAGGTGTAACGGGATCATGAAGCCGTGTGTGTGTTTGTCACTGTGTTCATGAAGCGGAGTTATAGTTTTGTTGTTTCTGTCATCTGACAGTCAGTCCAGTGCTGATCTACTGTAGAGCTCTATGAAAGATCCCAGCTCACATTGTTTTGAAACGTTTCTAAAGCGTTAAAATGTCCAGTTTCATAATGTTATTTAAAGGTTACAAAAAATTAGTTACAGCATTCTACAAACATTTTCACCCAAAATATAATGTTTATTTTTAATATTCTAACAGCGTTTTCTCTCAACATGAGAACATTCATCAAGTACAGAAACCATCAAAAGGACATTTAGAGAATGTTGTTCTCTCAACGTTATGAGAATGTGTATCAAGTAATAAGAATGTTCCATTAACATTAAGTTTTGTCCTAACATTTATATAACTTTTATAAAACGTTAGTGAGCGTGTTTCCTGTTAGCTGGGATGTTTTATCACTGAATATTAATTGTCTTTTAAATCCCGTATTTCTGTCATAACTTCACAGACACAAGTCCATATTGTATTTGAATTTGATTAATTGTACAGCCCTACTTTTGATGAAACACACATTTCTGGTAGCCAATGTTGACATTTGAAATCACCAAAACAAACACGCCCCTACCCCAAAAGGGTCTCGCCCCTATTTTGATAGCTCCGCCCCACACATACGTACGCAACCCAGGCAACAATTAGTTCTGTAAAATCAGTGATGCTGTCTACACCATAGATATATATACAAATCCCCGACAGAAAACTCTATTCATGACGTATTGACACAAATTTCAAATGATTTTCAACACTCGCTTTGTCGCGTCCAGTGTATTAGACAGACTTTAGCTGCTGCGGCGCAGACACGGTGTTACTCACCTATCCAGAAGAAACAAAGCAAGCAGGCCTTCCGGCTCCTTGAGTTCTCTCCAGCGCTGGAAAGCTGATCCGATATTTACACAGGTCCTACTTCTTGCCTTATTGCCTTAAGCCTTCTTTTGTTCCTCAGACATTTTCCTCTTTTGTTTTTTATCGGCCATCTCTATCTTTCTGTCGCTCGGCTCGCTAATGTCTGTCCTGTGCACTAACCCTCTCTCCTCCACATCATGAGTAGACACGCCCCTTACTGCTGATTGGCTACTATTTTTTTTTCTATTCTGCACGAATCAGTTTTCTAAAGCGTTTTTGAAAAATTGCTTACCCCACCTTTAA